CAAAAGTTTGAAGGCAAGCTGAAATAAACAATGTCATCTAGTCTCAAAAACACCAAAATAAAAAAAGGCAAATACATATGTATATACATTTGAACACGGCAGTAAATCTAATTTTTTAAAGTATTATTCTGGAGGCCTTATGAATTATACAAAGTCAGAAAACACAGAAGCAAAAAAATTGGGCGTCACTTTGCTTCTACATTCTCATCTCATATGCAAATGACCACTAAGCCTTACCGAGTTTTAGAGCAAAAAACGGATTCATCATGTTCACTATTGTTCCCTCAGTCCTCAGCACAGAGTGTGAAAGTCTGTGGTAAATAATGTATCTTTGGGCACCAGTGGCCACTACTCAAGAGGCTGAGATCTGGTTGGAAGCTAGCCTGGCCAGGAAAGCCCCTGAAACTCTTACCTCTAATATTAACTACTCAGAAAAAACAAGAAGGGGCGCTGTGGCTCAAGTGGCAGAGTACTAGCCTTGAGCACAGAGGCTCAGGGACCGTGCACCCAGGCCTTCAATTCAAGCTCCAGAGCTGGCAAGAATAAATAAAAATAATGTATCATTTAGTAAACAAATCAGACCTAGAAGATGTAAAGATCTGGAAGGAGATATGTGATGGAGCCATTTGGATTGAAAAGTCAATTTTCAAAACTTAAGTATCATCAATTTTTTAAAAAACTGAAAATAAACTTGTTATTTATAGCAACAGTAATAAATTTTCAGGGGGAAAAATAAATTTTTTTCTTAAAGAAAAAATAATACTTACACATGACAAAATTAGAGAGCCAATCAGGAGACATAAACAATCATTTGAACTTGTGGAGTTTAATATAAAGAAAGTATGCATTATAGGGGACTGGAATGAGATTTGCTAGTAAGAAAAAAAAGTCAAGGAATGGCAAACAAGAAGCCTCATCCCTGGGTGAGACGGGCTCCTCTCGCAGTCTCTCAGGACTCAGAAGGAAGGGTGTTGGAGGTCAGACATGGTTCACTAAAAGGCCAAGCAGGTGTGGTGGTGGGGTATCCGGAACTTACTAGAAATCCCCTCTCTAGGTTCTGAGGAAAACCAGTTTCGGGGTGAGGTAGGTTTGGGGGAGGTTCAAGAGCCCAGCACTGGTGAGGTGTGTTCACAAAGAGCCTGTCAGCAGAGCATATGGTAACCATAACCATAAAGAAAAACCTGTCCTCCTGCAATGTTCCTCCACTGCTGTCTATTGATAGAGCCTAACTCCATGCCAGCTGGCAAAAGAAAAGTATTTTAAGGACTCAGCTTCATTTTCAGAGTATGTAAAAAAGTTCATTCGGAACCAAGAGGCCATATACTGACAAATGGTATAGTCTACTCTTTGTGATATCAGCTTCCACATGTACTCTTCTGCATGTTTGAATTCACTAAAATTACATAAGCTATATAAGCCGGAGTAACTTCCCTAGGCCAGTCTGCACGGCACAGACATCTTCCTTGGCACTCACTTATAATCTCTAACTCCCTTTCCAAGAACTAATCAGAGGAGGAATATGAAGGCTACCAATAAGGAAATTCACAACCTTTTCTTATTCACACCAGTGTCAGAAAGTTCCTCATTTTATCTAACAGGAATCCTTAGACAAAGAAAGCTGGTGTGTGTGTGTGTGTGTAGGTACTTTTAATTTATGGAGTTAAAATGTGTGTGTGTATGCGTAGGTACTTTTAATTTATGGAGTTAAAAAAAATTACCTAATGTTTCCGTGTGTGTGTGTGTGTGTGTGTGTGTGTGTGTGTGTGTGTGTGTGTGTGTGTGTGTGTGTGTGTGTGTGTGTGTGTGTAGGTACTTTTAATTTATGGAGTTAAAATGTGTGTGTGTGTGTGTATATGTGTAGGTACTTTTAATTTATGGAGTTAAAAAAATTACCTAATGTTTCCGTGTGTGTGTGTGTGCGAGCGCGCACGTGTAATCCAAGGTACTTTTAATTTATGGAGTTAAAAAAAAACTACCTGGGGCTGGGAAGGTGGCTCAGTGGTAGAGCGCTTGCCTTGCATGCTCGAGGCCCTGGGTTCGATTCCTCAGCACCACATAAGCAAAAAGAAAAAAGCCGGAAGTGGCGCTGTGGCTCAAGTGGTAGAGCGCTAGCCTTGAGCTGAAGAGCTGAGGGACAGCGCCCAGGCCCAGAGTTCAGGCCCCACGACTGGACCCAAAAAAAAAAAAAAAAACTACCTTTGTTTCCTTGCCTGGTAAAATGGAAATCTGTGAAGAGTTAATCATCCAAGTAAAGGTTAAATTAGCCCATCTTCTGAAACACTCTGAGCTGAACCTTGCAAAAGCCAATAAAAGTGAACTTCCCCACAACTTGCAAGGGAAGCTCCTTAAGGGCAGGGGGATTTGTCTGTTTTGTTCCCAGCCTTATTTCCACCACCTAAAACAGGAGCTAAAAATTGCTGGGTTTTGTTGGTTTTAGTAAATCACTGACAAAAGGCTCTTCTATATATATATATGAAAAGTCATTAAGTCTTCTAAGTCCCAAAGTTAAAGATTTACAGTGTAGCTACAAAAGACTTTGAACAGAAAAATAGGGGGGGAAATTAGGTCAGGAGACCAATAACCAGCACCACATACCTTTGTTATTTTGCCTTGCCAGAGTCTGCCATGTAACAGCTGTATAGCCTGGGAAAGTTCCTCTACCTCTTTTCAGAGAGGGAATAAATGACTATTTAAATAAAGAACTGTTGAAACTTTTTTTTTAAAAAAAAAGATGATATAAATTACAGTATCTATTAGAATGCTGTATTAATTGAATCCCTTATGTAAATATAACTTTTGGCTTTTCTAGTTTGTGAAGGAAGCAATTGGCTTTCAAAATGAAATAATTTAAAAAAAAAAAAAAACTTTTTGGTGGCAGTTCTGGGACTTGAACTTAGGGCCTATGCATTGTCCTTGAGGTTTTGTGCTGAACAACAGCAATCTATGAGCCACAGGTCCACTTCTAGCTTTTTTGGTGCTTAAGTGGAGATTATAGTCTCCTGGACTTTCCTGCACAGGCTGGCTTCGAACTGTGATCCTTACATCTCAGCCTCTGAGTATCTAGGATTACAGCCTAAGCCAATGCACCTCGCTACTGTGCAGTAATATTATGCCTAACTGAAAAGACGTTTCAAAACAGAGATATGGCAAAATCCTTCAAGCCTCCTTCCCAAGTGTCTCTGTGAAATAAATAAAAATAAAAACAAAAAAAATATAGGAATGTGTCCTGAATTTCCCGCTAAGGTAAAATAAAACATCTAAAATATATCTAGTTTGCATGTCCAATAATCAGAAAAATGACTGCTGATTAGACCACCACATTGTTTAACTGAAGAGAAGGTTTACTTGCTCTTTCCCAATATTGAGAGGTAACTTTCTAGAATTTGACTTCACCAATTCCTTACTAGTTATTTCCTAACAAAGTAAATGACCAGTTTAAATGACCACAGAACACAGGTTACAAGAATGTGACCATTAGTGATCAATGCATTTTCTTGTTATTTACTACTAGCAAGTAACTGTTGGAAAAGCTCTAATTCATTCTTAAGTTAACAGAAACAATTTTATCATTCATTCAAACCACAAAGTAGAGACATCTTACCTTCCTGTCAGTACCAGAGCTCAATTAAAAAGCAAACCCTATAGTAAAGATAGAACACTAGCTTCACTAAAGAAATTGTTTTAATATATGGAAATTAAGACTAGGATAGGCCTTATCTACTGTCAGCACTATCCGTTTTGCAGCAAGTTTGAATACTTAAAACCTAGAGATTAAGGTTTCAAAATGAGTAGGCTCCACAAATCCCCTGTGTTGTAGCTGAGTACACATAAGCTCACAGAGGTTAGTGAATGGTTCCCACTCTCCCTTTCTGGACGCACACAGGCACAGACAGTGCTGATTAGAACTGGTTTTCTCACTTTATGAAAAATTCCACTTAGCACCACGTGATCTAAACTATAGTCTTTAATTTAACTAAAACATAAGGGTCCATTGGTGCTGCCTCCCCTATCTCTTTACGAGGGGCGGCTCCATCCTGAAGGAGGATGGAGAGTTGCTTTTATTGACAGGAAGTACGTTGAATAGCCGAACCTGAGAAGTATACTACACTGCATTGTAATAAATACCCAGTTTTGGTTAAAACTACTTTTTCCCCAGTTTTACACATGCATTTTGTAACCAATTTTGTATCTCGAAACAATCGTTTGCATTTATATAAATGTCAGCATCCCTACAAAATACCTTTATACTCAGTAACTTGCTAGTGACCTCAGGTGAACTAATACAGGATAGGATGGTTTTTAAAGCTTCCAGTGAGACTCTAACCCTTTTTAACAGCCAAAAAGAAAAACAAAAACAAGAAAAACCCTCTAATGACCCACTCAGGTAGGCTAATGACCTTAAGCCTAACCTTAAGATGATCTATAACAACACATAAAACTGAAAGAAACCCATCACCCCGCAGGAAGCCGCAGGAGGCTGGCAGGCCCTCCCCGCCGAGGGGGGGGGGGGGTGAGGCCGGCTCCCGGCCCGGAGGTGTACCCGGCCCGGTCCAGAGTGCTGCCGGGTTTTCCGCATTCTGCAACCCTCGCTGGCTCAGCGGTGACTAGGGCCGTAACCTACGACCTCCCCTCTCCCCCCACCCCCATGGCCGGGTGACCCCGGCATTCCTCCAAGCTGGAAGAAGGAAGCCAGAAGAGACAGGCCCGGCCCAGGCCACGTCCGGACGTTGGACGTGGCGGCCTTTTTTCCACTCCGGGGCGCGAAATCCGAGCAATGGGTTCGTGGCAGACTCCGACTGCCTCGGACGCTGCCCTGGGACAAAGAGCGGCGGGTCCCGAGCCACCCCGCCAGACCGCGAGTGGAGGGCCGGCGGGGTCCCGGGCCCGCACCCGCGCCGCCCGCACTCCGGAAGTGTCCCGAGCCCCCACCCGTACAGCGCGGTCCGGGCGGACCCCCCTCCCCTCCCCGGCCCGGCGGGCCGCGGCCCCGAGCCCCTCACCCTGGTGATTGAACAGTCTCCATATCCTGGTGAAGAGAATTCCCATCCTCGGGCAGCGGACCCCCTCCAGTCCCCCGCGCCGCCCGGCCGCCCCGGGCTCAGGCCGAAGGAGACAGACGCGCGCCGGGGCCTCCGCCTCTGCTGCTGCCGCTCCCGCGTTGCTGCTCACCGGCCCGCTTCCAGGGAACCGGAGGGAGGCCAAAGCCCAGGCCGCCCTGCCGCGCGCGAGGCCCCGCCGCTGCCGCCGCGGCGCTCGCCTGGCTCGCGGACATCGCCGCCGCGTTGTCTGCGACGAGCCTCGCGGGCCACCGTCCACCCCCAGCTCTTTCCTGGCGGCTGCGGCGGCGGCCAAGAGGAGGGCGAGAGTGCGCAGGCGCGAGGCCGATTGGGCGGAGCTTAGGATGGGGCATCCCTGTGGACCTCGCTCATTTGCATAATCAGGCTAGTTGTAGAGGTGGGGCTGTGTCTTGGATCTATCTAAGCTTTGAGGTCTGCGGGTTGGGTTCTCGCTGAGCTTTTTACGTTCTATCTGAATGACCTCCACAAAACCGAAATGCAAATGTATAAAACTGTGCCTACCTGTAATCCTAGCTACTCCGGAGGCTGAGATCTGAGTGTAACCGTTTGAAGCCAACCTTGGTAGGAAAGTCGTTGAGACTCCAATTAATCACTAAATGGAGCTTTGCCTCAAGTGCTTTAACTAGCCTTGAGCACAAAAGCTCAAGGACAGCTTCCAAGCCCTGAGTGCAAGTACACACACACACACACACACACACACACACACACACACACACACACACTCCTGTGTCTTTCTCTAGGCCTTACATGCACACCCTTCCAAAATTCTCCTTGTCTTGACCCTGGATGACTTGACATTCCAGGAAAGCTTCAGATCTTTATCTTTCCCACCTGTTGCCCTTTGACTCCCAGCTGAAAACAGAGGTTTTATTTTGGTAATCTTTAATCTTATCATTGTATTTGCACCTCTAGGCTCCTACCTCGTTCATCTTTCTATATGCTCAGGTCAACCTTGACCAGAGCAATAGTTTTAATCAAGTGTTCCCCTTGTTTTTAAACTTTCAGCGGCCAAGGCAAAAAGTAACTAACTGGTCCAGAGTTTAAAACTTTAGACCCATACTCATTCATCACAATACCATTCCAAATGTCTTTTCCAACTCTCACGCTACATTCCAAGCGTCACTTGCTTACTAAATAGATGGCCAAATAATCCCTGCGCTTCCAGTATTCTTGCCTATTCACTTTGAACAGCTGTGTCCCATGCTATGCAAATGTCATAGCTGCTTGTAATCAAACCTCCAAGGTGGGACATCTAGTTGGCAATTAGGATGTAAGTGAATCGTTGGCTCGAAAATCAGAGTTCTTGTTCCGTCAGTTGTTGTGGTGTTTGGGGGCTTTTTTAGGCTGAGAAAGTTCTTGACATCTTTAAACCTCAATTTTTACGGATGTAAAATGTGAAAGTAAGGCGTTAACCTATAAGGCTTTTCTTTGGTTCTAAGTCTTTCTTTGACATTATTTTTCACCTGCTATGTTAATTATTCCTGAATAGAAACAAGGGGTGGAGGAAGAAAACAAGATTCTTTTTTAATTCCACACATATCTAACAAACAACCCCAGAAACAGCTCTACCCTTTGTTATTCTTAACTTTAGTTAAAGGAGAGAAAAAGAGAGAGAGACAGAGAGACAGAGAGAGACATAGACACAGAGAGAGACAGAGACACAGAGACAGAGGCAGAAAGAATGCAAAGAGTTGTAAAAGGGCATTTTTGAAGTGCTTTTGTGTCTACATCTGCAATCGCTGAATGAAATAAAATTCAACTGCATTACTCCTTTACATCTAGCTTCTAAGCATGTACTATCTTACCTCAACACATAGAAAACGAATTTCTTGACCTCTCTTGGAGTTTATGATAAAAAGTCAAACTTCAGGGGAGACATACACAAGGGGAAAAGTCATTACAATGATCCACGCTAATTTATGCATTAGTATCTTGAATTTACTTAATACTCTTTTGGCTGTTAAGACAAAGAATGTTTGCACATCTAGTTTGCATTAACCCTTTAATGCTTCCATTCTTTCACACTGTAGGTAATACTTTGGCAATTCTGAGGCATTTAGCAAAATCCCATACACCTCCTGTCATTTTACTAAATGCATATCAGACCCATATTAACTTGTGAAGCTAGGGCTTCATTTACAACTATACTAAAGAGATAGTCCCCCAGATCATTTTCCAAGTCTCTCTCTCTCTCCCCTTCCCCCCCTCTATGAGGAGGAAGAGGAGAGGCAGAGATATGAATTTACCTAACGTTAATCTAGGCTATGTAATGGATATGTAGATGAAATGTAAATATCAGTGTTGTCAATGTAATTGGGAATCTTTAGTAGGTAGTTTGAAGCGATTATGAAAATGGGCTCCCTTTGAGACCTCTTGAAGACTAATTTATCAGTATTATAGTGATACACACAAAACGTCCTCAGAGAGACTTCTGATTTAAGACATGAGAGAAAGGGGCTGGGAAGGTGGCTCAGTGGTAGAGCACTTGCCTTGCATGCTCGAGGCCCTGGGTCCGATTCCTCAGCACCACATAAGAAAAAAGCCGGAAGTGGCGCTGTGACTCAAGTGGTAGAGTGCTAGCCTTGGGCTGAAGAGCTGAGGGACAAGGTCCAGGCCCAGAGTTCAGGCCCCAGGACCGGACCCAAAACAAAAAACAAAACAGAATAACTGGGGGGGGGGGGGGGGGGGGGGGAATGGTACTGGGGAGGAGAGGAGACAAGAGAAAAACTCTAGAAATCAGAACAAAAGACCACTGAATCTTTCACTGTATTATCAATCTAGACTTGAGTAGTATGAGGCCCCAGGTATTTGTCTTAGAGCAATTCCTGGGAAGAAAATAAGTATCGAGGGGCTGTAAAATAATTCCCAGAGAATTATTTTATAGTGCTAGAAACCATTTGCAGTATCTTCAGCCAAATGTTTGAGATATATGAAATTTCAGTAGAAACTTTGGAGACCTTAGAAGATGAACTAAGAAGAATAAGCCTTACTGTAGACCAGACCTAAAGGAGCCTGTAAAAAAACCTTGAGAGGAGCAAAATAATCCATAATTGCCTTTTGGGACTAGTCCAACATTATATAAAGGAATACGATTAAATCATCAATAATGGAAAATTTATGTCATAAATCCAGTTTAAAAAAAATCAACAAAAATCAAACCTCAGTGGACATGCAAGAAAATAGAAAATGTGACTATAACCAAATGAAAAATCACTAGACAGATCCAGGCACAGGGAAATTAAATGATTGCCCCAAACAATCACAAAATTATCATTATAGCTACGTCCAAGTTTTGAATCTAGGCAATAGAGAGCATCCACATGTTACATGAAGATAAGCAAGATACTTATTTTCACAGTCTGTCTTATTAGTGGAAATATGCTGAAAAGAGAGATATTTTTAGGCATATGGACATTTGATATAGTATGGTGAGTAGAGATAATTCTTCCAGTCAAGAGTTTCATCAGATTTCTGGTTAAAATGCTTTGATAATTGGAGTGGCCTTTATATACTACTTCTGCAATAACTGAAATACTGTTTGTTGAAATCAACACTGTATTTGGCATTGTTTTTATGTTTCAGGTGACACCTAGCACCAAAGTATTTCACATTTGTGTGTGTTTGGTATGTGTGCCGGTCCCGGGACTTGAACTCAGGGACTGGGTGCTGTCCCTGAACTGCTTTATCCAAGGCTAATACTCTAGATTTTGAGCTACAGTTGTACTTCCAGCTTTTTGTTGGTTAATAAGAAATAAGAGTCTCACAGACTTTGCTTCCTGGGTTGACTTTGAACTACAATCCTCCTGAGTAGTTGACAGGCATGAGCCACCAGTGCCAAGCTCTCTCTTTCTCTCTCTGACTCTTTCTCTCTCTCTCTCTCACACACACACACACACACACACACACACATTTATTGTTGGTTGTGGGGCCTGAACTCTGGGCCTGGGTGCTGTCCCTCAGCTCTTCAGCTCAAGGCTAGCACTCTACCACTTGAGCCACAGCGCCACTTCCAGCTTTTTTCTGATTATGTGGTGATGAGAAATTGAATCCAGGGCCTCACGCTGAGCCACTGAAAGTAATTTAGAGGAAAACATCACCATGAGTTCATTTATAGTTGGGTCTATGCCCTGGCCTACTTTCCAGGGTGGTTATATGGATTAAATGGAATATTCATGAAGTAACTTTGCAGTCATAAATCACTGTGTTAATTCTAATGCAGTGATAAAGAGCCTAGTACACATTTCTCTTGAACTTCTTATACAGTGCAATGAGAGAAAAGTCCAATTCCAACCAAGTCTCAGCACTAACTACTGACTCTGAATATATGAAATGTCAAGTCATGATCTATAAATCAGGCATGGAATTCTTAAAAGTCCAGAGTTATACTTTGGGAACTTCTGGTAACTGCCACATTAACTAAAGTTTCTGAAGAACATTAAGTTTGATCTAGTATAGCTACTGTAAGTCATAGTCAATCCTGTTTCACACATCTATTCCAATATATTTCATGTCCGTGTGTATTTGTGTGTGTGACTTACAAATCCTTCCCTAATACAGTATTTCTTTTATGACAATCCACAACATCTATCAAAGTTTTCAGGACATAGTCATAGTTAACTTTTTCTGATATTAGACTTCTTTCCTTATAAAAATTATAGAGATATTTGTAAAACTTTCTATAATTTTTTCAATAGATATCTAAAATAATAGAAAGGAGAGGTATAACGCTGTTTTTGGTGTTTGTTTTTTTTTCATTTATTATATAAAAGAAAAAATTAATGCAGTTGTTTTGTACACATTTAAATTCCATAAAACAAATCCATAGAAATTAGGATATTGTATGCATGCGCTCTGCATTTTCTTTGTTAAATGTCTTTGTTCACAAAAATAACACCACATTTTTTCCCCTTAAAGCCACTAAAAGCAGAGGGAGAATAAAACATGCAGCACTGTACACATTTGCATAGTATATTTTACCCAGCATGCCTTGTAGAATGCTACACATACCTATATAATAAAAGAGGGGATAGATCATCAAAATAAGGAATTAAAGTTTAAAGGAAAAAATTATTTGACAATGGCATTTCCCCCTACTGTACCAATGGAGACGGAACATAACCTGGGATATCAGAAGAGTAGGGGGAAAATTATTTTATATCACTTTGCCATATTTATTTTTAGAATGTTTTATATTAATAACTTTTAAAAAATTCCCATCCACCCCCTTCAAAAACAAAATGGATGGGCTTAAGTTTCAAAATAGTATCTGGTACAGAACAAATTAAATAATCCCAATAGTTTTGTTTCACTGGGACCTTTTTTTTTAATCTTTTGAGGTTGTGAAAAATACAAAAAGAAAATTTCAAACATGCCCAAAGTTCAGAGGAGCCCTGTCACTTGGAGTGACATTTTGTAGTTGTTATTGAAGGAGAAGAAATAAGAACAGAAAATATACTGTAAGTCTTATCACAAAATAAAATTTAATAAGTTCATATGTATGGGAGTAAAATAAACTATATCCACAGATTGCAAGGCTATGAAATAAATTGCAAGCAGGAAGTTAAAAAGATGCTAGATGAAATAAATCAAATAAAACATGGAACCAAATCTATACACTTGTAAAAAATAGGACTGCCAAATTAACAGTGGATTTTGTGGTAAGTTTGTGCTATAACAAATGTGCTTCTTTCTCCTCAATCTATTTTCATATTATTGGCAAAATATATATATATTATAATTTTGTACTGTACAATATATATTTTTGCTACATTATTTTTCTACTGCTAATGCAGAAGTAACAACATAGATTATTTTGGCAATAAATGCTTTCATTTTTAATATCATCCCAGAAAATAGTGTAAGGCATATGAAAAATAGTTTGCAACAATATAGCGTTAATGATCCCATATCTGTAACACATCCCATATGCATACAGAATTCACACTGATTTCATTTAAAACTGTGTGAAAGTTACATGCAAAGAGGGCAAGAGAGGCCCCTACATAAATATCGACATAGCCATTTGTTGAGAAATGTAAGTGTTCAAACAGAACCAAGAACACTTACAAAATATTGAAAAGCTAGAGGCCAGCCACTTTGTGTTCTTCTCAGCTTAATTCCTTCTAATTTTCAAGTGAGGAAGTATCTGTGTCCAAACCACTCTAAAACCATTACTAACATTTTCTACCATCTCTCTGCAAACATTTTAGATCTATCAAAAGAAACAAAAGTTGCACATGAAACAATGACTCCCCAAAACTCAGTGCTATTCACTATTATTTATATATTTTTCCATGGGAAGTGGGAGTTACAGCCCTTAAGATGGCATGCTGAGAAACTGTCTAGTCTTCCCATAATATCCTTCAATTACATGGAGCATCTGGCATTAAATTATTTAAAAGTAGATGGAGACAGTTGGTATCGGAGGATGTGTTTCATTGGATAAAGACCCTTTTAATAAATGATGAAACTTTCAAAAAGAAATTTGTGAATGCTGTATTTCCAGCCCATATAAACATATGTTACTATCTTGACTAACTCGATTGCTGAACTCAACAATAAAAAAGTATTCTTTTGTCTAACAGCTCTTATATTGACTGGTTTGATCATGATTATAATTTAAAAGAAGAGACAATTCATTGCAACTTACACACAAAGTAAGGACCCTAGTTCACAGTTAAAGTATTGCAGTATTTAAAGATATAAAGAACTAATGAAACAGATTTTATTACATAATTTCTTATAAAGTGTCCCACAGTTACTTAAGGATGAGTTTTATATAATCAAAAAAAATAACCACCATGCAACATTGCCATAAAAGACAAAGGCAGAAATACAAAAGAAATAAGAATTACATAAGCATTTATTTGAACATTGTTATGAAGTTTGTCCCCATTACACCCAGAGTCCAAGATAATGAATATTCTTACCCAATAAGTTGCTAAGTCATGCTCTTGGTATCCATAGAAATCGAAGATTAACAAAATTTGAATTTGCAAACCAGCCGCATTTAAACATTAAGACTTTAGACATACTGTTTTTCAGACCTAGCATTAGGTATTATAAACACGTTTCTTCACAGTTTGGTTTGCTTCCTATGATGACTTATATGTTCAGTTATTCACTTTTCATCAACTGTGAATCCGTACAGAGAAAACATTATCAACATGGAAGAAATGAAAGGATGACAAAAGCATTATGGGATTTTAACACTTCATACTTTAAAGATTGCAGTGAAGTTAACAGTAGAAAATTTGATGACAATCTTAATTGGATGAGTACTCTTTCTACTTAAAGATGGACCAAGGAGATGTATTAAAAAATATTAATACACAGAGCAATTGTATAGGGGTATCATGTTGTTTTGTATTTTTCTTAGCAAATATGAAAATAAAATTATATAACTAAGAAAATATATGAACTACAAATCAAGGTTGCCTAGAAACAATGCTAACTGACACCTTGGGTCTCAACAATGTTTTATGATATGTTCATTTAACGAGTTTAAATTTCCAAACTATCTTTTGCCACAATTTCCTTCTCTCACTCCCTTTCACAGCCTCTACTATCTATTATGAATTTTAAGGCCCCCACACTGAAGACAAGTTCAAGTATGCAGGTATGAAAAGAGGTTAACATTCCAAAAATACATTTTTCAAGAACAACAATAATTAGAGTAAATAACAAATCACTTAAAGGGAACAAATACTTGTCTCAGAATTTGTTTCACATTTAAAAAGTTCATTTCATTAAGGACAAAATGCAATAACTTAATAGAGTCACAAAATTAAGACTCTCTTCGTGGGTAAGACCATTACTCTAAATTGTTAACAATTCCAATCTTCTTTCCAATAGAACTAACTGTATAAAGATAAGAGAGAATCCAGTCATTCACAAACCTGCCTAAGCGTTGCACTAAATACTGGAGTAAACAAGGTAACATTGTTGGTTATATACTATTGGAGTCACATTATGGCCTTGAGAGTTAACAGTAGGATCAAAAACTGCATTCTTTTCTTTTCCATGACTACATTTCCACAGTGTGACATTATTATGTCTTTGGACTGAAACTAAAGAATCCTAATATGTGATTTAAACTACAAGTTAAACAACTTGAAAATATTATTATAAGAATTGTTTCTCCTGCTTATCATTACTTGTTATTTTAAAATAATTAAAAACAAGGTATTACTGGAATACATATTTTCCAAAGGTGCTTAATGTGCTCGAAAAAATAAAATTTTATTTAGTATATATCTTGATGTTAGTATCATTTACATAATAAATTCTAAGGCTTTTAAAAAAGGAAGATGTGCATCTCTTATTCACTTGAAGAAGATAAACTTATTACAGAAGGAAAGTGAAAAATATGTAAAATTAAAGAGCAATTTTAACTATATCATCAAGAAAATATACATCATATCCTTTCAAAGATTGTTAGCATTTGAATAAGAATGCAAAGCGAAATGAGTATGGACATTTGAAGGTAAATGATAGATGGGTTCTGTGTACAGTTATTGAATGGAACTCCCTCTGTCAATATGACATGAAGACTAGAAACAAGGGTTGAAAGGCTTTCCAAAAAGAAATGGTAATCTCGCAGACTAGGGGATATATGGAAAATGCTGTTACAGCTACCTGCCATAAAATGTAAATATCTTAAAGTAGTTAAATGACCAATTGCTAATGCTACCACAGAAAAAGCTGGACAGCTGTCTAGTCTAAATTTATACACCTTGGTGCACTCTTTGCAATTAAATACTTTAATGCACACAAACAAGAAACCAGTAAAGCATATAGAAAAATGTTTTGGCTAATGTTTTCTTTCTCATGCAAATATGTGCTGTACATGTAATATAGTTTTGTTTGCTGGAAAATGCTCTTCTGTGTTTTAACAAAGTATTCAGTAATGGCAGGTTATATGTTGAGTAAAGAGCATGATGGCTATAGCTCTTCTAAATTTCTGAACTGAAAGTTTTGTAAGATTCACTAGATGACAAAAGAACTGCACAAGCCAGTACCACATGTTAACTTTGAAATTTTGCTGAGCCCATGTTGAATTGTATTGACTGATGGACGAGATGACATACAGAATGGTAGGTACCCTCATGATGAGCTAAACAGGGTTATATACTGTGAACAAGAGGGAAGGTATATGGTAGGCTGTGGTGGGGTTTAGGGTATATTTAACTAATTAAGAACATGAAATGTATTTCTTCATCAGGAAAATGATTGAACTGGCACATGCTCTGAAAGCCTAGGGGAAGACAAGTTAATGTAAAAGTAATCACACATGTTTTCAAAAGCATGCTTCATGACACATACTCGTAGAAAACGACTTTTGTGGCTGGGTTTTAGAAAAATGCACACATCATAGAACTTTAGAAACAAGATCCCTTTTGTAAAGACTTTTGTGTCTTATATAAAAGGGTCAATTTCAATAATTTCTTAAAGCATAGTGAATCTAAGTATTTCTTGATAAGACATGGGTCACTATAACTATAACCCCCCACCAAAAACCTGAATAATTTCAGTGATGAGGGTTATCCACTAAAAATAAGACAACCCAAGCTCCAAAATTATAATTTTTCTGCATTAAAATGCTATAATTTTAGTGAATCAACATATTCTGAATCTTTATGATTAGGATTTTTTTACTGCAAGATGTTAAATGCATCATTACTTTGAACTTTTTCCAGTTTGTCATGCTGTAATTTGAATGTATTTGAAGAAAATTTAAAAAAAATAGCGTGTTTTAAAACTTTGCTGAAGGGCTAGACATTCAGCTAAACCAAAGACAGAGACCGAGGAAAGCAACGAGAAGATACTCCACTGTGTTGGCAGGAAATACTGACCTGATGTGTGTGGTAAGTGGGCTGGATGAACTGGAGATGTTTAGCTATGCACTCAGGAGGATGGTACCACATCCTTGCTATCTGACTTCAGATCTCCAGATGTGTGTAGTTGTGCTCAGATTGATTAAAGAAGAAATACCACTTCGTTTTCCATTTCTTATATAACCAGCTATTGTTGGCTTCTCCTTACTATTCTCACCCATTGCTGAAAAAATGTTGAAGTTTTTCTTCTCCTTATTTTTTTTTTGCCAACTTCAAACAAGCTAACAATACTAACTGAACAGAAAGCAAAAACACATTTTGAATACAACAGCTATGCCAGGAAAGAAAGAAAAATATTAAAATCTGAGGAGAATATATAATTTCTGCATTAAGATTTCTGAGATTCTTTTTTGGCACTATCAGTACATTTGGTAAGTTTGAAAAGCCATTCTGGTAACAGGTTAGTATATTAAAATGTTCATACATTCCAACTGTAAGTGTAAATTTAGCTTCCAACAAATAAATACTATAGCTGGTTTTGGTTTCTGTTGGTATTGTGAATTTCTTATCGTTTAGGTTTAGTTTTTTCCCGATTGTTCAGTTGGTTGTAACATGCTCAAGTAGACTTCCAGTCAATTCACCCAAATTCCAACAGGAATTGGTTTATAAATTGGTTCCAACTGGAACTGGTCATTTGGAATTTCCAGCATGGGAAATTATTTTGTATGTGCCTTCATAAATACCCTAAAATTACAAATTGATGTGTCTAAATCTATGAAGAAAACAAAAGGTACTGTTATGTAAATGTTACACTTAAAAATATCTATATGACAGGGCATCTATTATCCATCTAGATTCAAGGGCATAATGTATTTTTTTTTTTGCCCCTTACTTAGCATCAAATGACACCAGCCCACAGCACAATAATTGTGCTGTGCTTGCCAAGTTACAATGATTGGTTTATCCTAGCAGTGCTATGACAAATTGTCAACAAATGAATATTTTTTATGTTCTTTTGGCAGCCTCAAAGCCTATGTCGGGAGTCATGGCTGTATCCCCCAGGTGAGCCTCGGTTCCTGTGTGGTTTATAAGTGTCCTGGTATGAGTCAGGGTAATCTTCTTCCACAAGAGGGTAATGATCTCGGCTATGCTGAGAACTGGAAGACAAGCGGTTCCTACTCTTCCGAGCTCTCTCATTGTGATAGTTTTCATCAGAGGTCATTAGACTTCGTCTTTCAATTGGAGAGTTCTCTGTGGAGTGATTGCTGTGCCTCATCCGCTGACTCTAAAAATATCAGATAATGTATTGATTAAATTATGTCAGCTTCATACATGTAAGCATATAAATGTAAATATATAAATATATTATAATGTATGTTATATACATGTAAACATGTAAATGTATAGGACCCATTCAATAAGACATGACTAAATATCTGCCTTAATAAAGCATTTTGACAAACAGATGGTCTGTCCAAAACATCTTGTCTTATTTATTTGGGACACAATGCATGAAGGTGCTTCAGCACTGACAGCTTATGAATTTAATTACATAAAGCCGCATGACTATGCTTCTTATTGAAAAAGCAGAACTGAAAACTGGCCATTACATGGAACGTAATGAATTTAGTAAGGCCTAAGTATTTCACTTCTTTTGCAATAAATGGGGGTTATTTTGCTGCTGGTGCATGAAGTTCAGAATAACATCTATTATTTTACTCCTTTCTTGAACTGATATTTGTCTTATTATAAGTCACACATTTGGTAGCTGAATTATAACTTTATATATTTACAAATATTTTATGAAACTATTTGTACTATCCATAAAATAATGTGTCTGTTGCTATATCCTACCTAAATGTTCTGCTTGCAGTAATATTCTTTAAAGGAGTATATAGTGTTATGGAATCAGCTAACTGATGCTTTTAAAAATCTTTGTTCCTTAACTGAGACAGCCTGCAAAAGTAATCTTCAGATATAAATTAAAATTCTCTAATATTATTAATTGAAAGTAACATCTTAAGACAACTACTTGTTGGGTCAGAAAATGAAATTGGACCTTTTTTCACCTTGGTAAACAGGTTATCTGTATGTGTCCACTAGCTTAGGAAGGTCACCTGAGTTAAGGAATAGGATCCTGACACAACAATGGTCTCAGAGAATCTTCTACAAAGTTATTGGGCTTCACATGGAAATTCAGTGAGTCACAGACCATGCCATTCATCTCAGCCAGGTAGCTAACAATTAAGTACCTATTATTACAGGGCAAAGTAGGGCACAGGATAAAGGTCACCACATTAACTCATTAGTGAAACTGGGAGAACCACTGTAGGTGGATGCCTTGGAGATGTTTTATCAAGTGTGTTGTATTCATAAACAAAGTGTAATGTGATACTTATTCCCGTATCACAGAGGCTTAGTGTTCCATGCCTCCATACTACATCCCAGTTCAAACCCAACACAAATTGGTCAATGGAAATGCTTCACTCTGATCAGCATACATGGAGGGAAATAAGGCAAACTGGTGCATACACACATATATAAATGTTACAATCGAACATGTCCAGTCTTAAAAGAAATTCATTTCTATAGCCATTTTTTTCTGTTTACCAAGATATAGTTTTGCAACAAAGCAAAACAGTTATAATAGTGTTTGAATTTATCTCAGAGTTAACTTTACAAAAATCTTCAAGTATGGCTATCGTTATAACCCATTAAAGACAAACTAGTCATGATGCCAGACGGCTCAACTGACTACATGTTCTTCAGTCAGCTGGGGGTTGGCCATCTTCCAGCAGCTACCTGATAAATGGTGAATAATAATTAATGTAGAAAGGTAGGAATCATTTTGTGTCCTAATGCTTCTTGCTCTCTATCAGAGCAGCAAAGAAAGAAGCTCCTGACCCTATCCCATACTTCCCTAAAGGACACTTGTCATAGCTACTGACCCAGATGCACCCTAGCTATACCCAAGAAAACTTATTCTGTCTTGTGCAAGGCGTAGAACAGTTCAGGCAGCACAGGGGGCAGGAATAGTTAAGGAAAGACAAAAGGCTCATCTGTCTCCAAACTGCCTGATATTTTCACTATCATATAATTTTTAAGTGTCATGTGTAAGTTATGGACAGTTGCCCTGTATAGACATTAAATCTACCAAGAACTACTTTATCTAAGTAGAATCCATTTTAAATTCCCAGAGAGCAGTTGGGATTTTGGTGACCTGTCATCCTAGCTGCTCAGGAGGCTGGGATCTGAGGACTGTGGTTCAAAGCTCAGGCAGGAAAGCCCATGAGATTCTTATCTCCAATTAACTACCAAAAAAGCTGGAAGTGGAGCTGTGGCTCAAGTGGCACAGCGCTAGCCTTGAGCAAAAAAGCTCAGGAACAGCCCAAAGGCCCTGAGTTTAAGCCCAGGCCCAGCACACACATACCCCCTCCCCCCCCCCCCCCCCCCCCCACACACAATCAGAATTACAGAGAGGGAAGTCCTCCAGTAAGGGTGATTCTCTGGGCAGCTTCCTCTAGACTAGGTGAGCTCCAATTTGGGTTAGTATAATGTACTCCTATAGTTCCCTCCTCACATTGAGAAGCATTCCTCATTCTTCAACTTAATCAAGTTCTCTATACAATCTGAAAGGTAAGGTTGTAAAAGTAGTAAGCAAAACTGACAATACCTGTAACCCAGAAATTGCAGTAGGATATGGTGAGAGTGCTGTGGAGCCCAAATTCCTCCCCAGCAGTGGGGTCATGGGGGTGCTACTGGTTGTGTGGGTAGCACGCCAATATGCCTCAAGGTACTCTCCTAGATGTTCACACGCATCCTCAAGCTGATTCTCATCCAATATGACATCAAACATTTCCTGGAGATGACAAGAAAATCCATTTTCTTCCCAAACTAGAATTTTGCCAATGAAATCTCAAAGTCCAGACATATACTAGTTATTGCAAATGGGGGGGGAGGGGGTTGATGGGAAGGGATGGGAAGGGGAAACAAAGGAAGAGGCAACAATGCTTGATAAGGAATGTACTCATTACCTTGCCCATGTAATTGTAACCCCTCTATACGGTATTTTCACAATTAAAAAAAAATCTCGAAGTCCATGTAGGGTGATTTGAAGGGATAAGTTAGCAGTTTCTCAAGTTAAAATCAAGCAAGGTGTTCCAGTGTCCCAAGCAGAAAAATCAGAGTTCATTAACTTACTTGAATTTTTCATTATTTAAGGATACAGTTGACTCTAAAGGTGTTACAGGAAAAGTACAGTGAAATCATGTCAGTGTTCACCTATGTGTTCATATGTTCATGTGTTCATATGTCCCTAATTCCTAGTGGAATTCTCACTTCAGAATATGAAAGAAACAAGGTAACTGCACTGAATGAGGAGGTTTAAAGGACTCAAGTGGTAAACTGCTTGTCTACTAAGTGCAGAAAATCTATCATTGGAATAAACATTTTCCAAGGTAACTATGTTGACTTAGATAGTTTTCAGAAGGCTTGTGAAAAAGATTTTATCTGCCTCATGATAAGAAGCAAGGAAAGGAAGTTTGGGTTAATAATAGAAAATCAGTCTAGTAATTGCTACTACCCTAAGCTAATTATGTGAGACAGTTTAAAAAACAAAACAAAACATATGAGAGCCAGAAGCCGGTGGCTCACGCCTGTAATCCTAGCTACTCAGGAGGATGAGATCTGAGGATCATGGTTCAAAGCCAGCCTCGGCAGGAAAGTCCATGAGACTCTTATCTCCAAAAAAACCACTAGAAACCCGGAAGTGGCGCTGTGGCTCAAGTGGTAGAGCACTCGCCTTGAGCTGAAGAGCTGAGGGACAGCACCCAAGCCCAGAGTTCAAGCCCCACGACTGACCAAAAACAAAAAACAAAAAGAAAAAAAAAAAAACCGGTGAGTGCTTAATTACAGAACAGGGGTCATACAAGGAACATCCAGTGTCGGTGTTTCTGTCATAAGGACTCTGCTCAGTATCTGTCCTGTAATTGGGAAGTTGTTCTTTAGGCCCAAAGGGAATAGAATGGCTCTTCTGTTATGGCTATGTGACTGGGAACACAAACAGGATATATTCAAAATACAGAAGACTCATTGGAGGGATACTCAGAAAACCTTGGCACTTCATACTTCACAAAAAGAAAAGCCAACTCACAGGTGTTAGCATACCCCATAAAAACACGTGGATGGTGGTGAATCTAATATTCAGTCACTGGATTGAAATAAACTTCCTCTCCCACCTCTACTACCATCCACCTGTTTTTATGAGCTCATTTGAACAAATTAAGAGCCTTAAATTCATGGCTAATACCAGGAACACTGACATTGCTGGATAGTGAGACAACTGGAAGACGTAAAGTTGGAGGTGTCTCAGTTGACTCATTCTCTTTGGTGCTTAGAACAAGGGGCTCTTAGAAGTAGATGTCACCATAGAAACTATCTCTCCCCCAATATTTATCCTTTATTTTTAGTGCAGCAGATTGAACCCAGGAATCTAGCCAGGCTAAGCACATACTCTACCACTGAGCTACACCCCCAACCTACTGTTTAAATGTTTCATTACATCAATCTTCACTGAAATGTTTGATCCTATGTTACAATGTTTGAAAGTTCCTTAGAGTAGGAAAATAATAAGTGACTTCAGTCTAAACGGATTCATGTTTGAGAGGACTTAGTCAGTTCAATTTATATAGAAAAAAATCCTTTAAGAACACTTATCACTTGAATTTCTGAATTTTTTACATATTTTCATTACTAAAATGTTTATACAATACTGATTTCATGCCAGGTCCGATGGATATCCAATGGCAAAAACAAACACAGCACCAAAAAAATAAAACTTCATTGATGTTGAAGAAGCATACAAATATTAAAATCAAATTGAGAGGATGGGTAGAGATGGGAGAGATGGGGGAGTTTGAAGAAAGGGGTTACATCGATCAAGATGCACTGTACTCCCAAAGTGACATGTTGAATTGAATCCCTTTGTATAAATTCTTAAAGATAATAATAAAAAACTCACAAAAATATTAAAAGCCACAATAATTACATCACACTGGGACTTTAATTCAGAACACTATAGAGGCAGGACCACTTCATATTTAGATCCGTTAATGTTCTGAATCTAGAAGGAGGTCTACAGAAACTTGTAAGAATCAAACTTATGGAAATGGAGAAATGATAAGAGTCTACCTGTAAAGAAAATAAAAGATAAAAGTGAAGCAGAGCCACAGTGAAAGAAAGAAACCATGTGGCCCCCAAGATGAGGGAAACATCCTTGGTCTTTATTGAACATATATCCTTACCAGAAGTCTCTTTTCCGGTAAAGTAACCCAAAGGAGTTTCTGGCCTCTTGCCATCATAGGCTCTTTTCTGAATTAGTTTTAATTTTTCACAGTCATAAAGAGAGATTTGATTCTCAGGGATGTCTACAATGCTCTGATGAAGAGAGTGATGTTGGAGTACTAACTTGAGTGGAACAAGAATAATTTCATCCCCAAAACCAACCACAGACTCCAACGACACAGGAAGAAAAAAAGAGGAAATAGGGAAGCACCAACCAGATGACCCCACTCGGCTTTCACAAGCTTGTGCCCCACAAATTCTAGACTGCTTGTGATGTTGAGCCTGCTGTTTATGTTTGTTTATGCTGCTTGCTGAAAAATTAGATTGCACAGGTATCATCCAATAGTGTGGGTTTTAGGTCCAACAAGTCATTTTCTTGCTTTCCTAAAGTCTCAGATTAAAGAATCCTTCAGAGATTTAATCAGGATACATCAGGGTACATTGTATGCATATATGGAAATGTTAACTCAACTTTGTTGTACCATTAATACATGCTAACTAAAATTTTATTTCAAAAATAAAATAGGAAAATGGGATCATATCAAGCTGAGAAGCTTCCGGAGATCAAAATAAACAACAGGCCTAACAGATGATATATATAATGGGAGAATATTTGCAAATGGTCTGTCCAACAAGGAGTTGACATTCAGAATATACAATATACTCAGAAAGATAAACACCAAAAAAAAACCAAAAAACAAATACTCCAGTAAAAATAAAGGTGGTGGGTGACTACACAGGGCTAAAAATGTAGCTCAGTGCAGAGTACCTATCTAGCAGGCAGCAGGCCCTGGGTTCAATCCCTAGCAACATACACACAGAAAAAGAAAGGAAAAAAGGAAGGAAGGGTCAGTCACTAGTGGCTCATGCCTGTAATCCCAGCTACTTTGGAAGCTAAGATGTGAGAATCTGCATTCAAAGCCAGCCACAAGCAGGAAAGTCCAGGAGTCTCTTTATCTCTGATTAATCACACATCCACACAAACAAAGCTGTAAATAGAGTGGTGGCTCAAGCAGTAAAGTTCTACCCATGAGCAAAAAAGCTCAGAGATAGCACCCAGGCCCTGAGTTCAAGCCCTATGACTGGTACTACAAAAATAAATAAATAAATTAATTAATTAAAGGACAGAAAATGAGCTAAATTTAGAACTAAGCAAACTGACTTAAAAATGGCCAACAAATATGTGAAATAATGCCCAGTCTCACTAATCATCAGAGACATGGAAATCTAAACCACAATGAGGTGTTATTTCCCTCCAGTTAGAATGGCTATCATCAAAAAGGACAAGACATGGCAAATGTTGATTAGGATGCAGAGAAATGGAAACTCTTAAAGCATGGATGGAATGCAAATCAATACAGATAATATAACAAAAACAGTATAAAGATTCCTCATGAAAATCGAACTATATTATGACCCAGTAATTCCACTGTTGGGTACATACCCAAAAGAGATAAGCTATCAATGTCAAAAAACAGCTTGTACCTCAACATTTATTATTATTATTAATATACATTATTATCACAAAAGCCAAAATAAGGAAAACCATATGCCCGCTGGTGGGTGAAAATGTGGTATATTTATACAATGGAATACTACTCAGCTGTAAAAAAATAACGAAATCTTGTTATTTTCATCATTTGGTCAGGGTACATTTGTATGCATGTACAGAAATGTCAATGAAACCTTGTTGTACAACTAATACATGCTAACTAAATATCATTTAAAAAGTGAAAACAGGATAATGGAATCATATCAAACTGGAACTGGATGGAACTGGAAAGCACTATGTTGTTTAAATCAAGTTAGACATAGAAAGAATATGTGTTCTCACTCATTTATGGACACTACTCAGTCAACCCTACAGAAGTATAGAATAGAATAGTGCACACTAGAGACACAGAAGGGTAAGTGTGAAGAGGACAGAAAGACATTTAAAGGGGCTTTTGGGGACAGGAGAAGCAAGGGAGGGAAGGAGAAAGAAGAAGGTAGTGTAATGGGATGATCAGTGGATGGGCGTAATCAGTGTATTATGTATGTGTATGCAAAGTATGCAAATATTAAAGTGACCCCTATGAATTTATACTAATAGATGTGCTAATGAAAATGTAAATAACAACAACAAAGAAAAAAAAGCAAGAAAGGTAAAAACAGGAAAGCAATGCCCATAGCAGAATCTTATTTGAGGTTTATATCTACTTGGCTATTTTACATCTTGTACTCTCAGTACTATAGCCACAATTACATTAGAAGCAATTTTTTTTTTAACTGTATTTTTTTGTCTTTTCTTTTTTGGTACTGGGGATTGAACCCAGGACGTTGCACTTGCTAGGCAAGCGCTTTTGCCACTGAGCTACATCCCAGCCCTAGAAGCAATTTTTTTAAAAAGCACTTCTCTTTGCCACTGGATAGAATATGCATACACCAAGTATGGCTGCTTTCTTAAGTCCAATCATTTCTTGCAAACTATGCTTTTGTATTGCTAAGAGAAAGCTATGTGGTAGAAGATGGTTTGAA